AGTTTAACAAATGAATATATATAGCATGATGTCATGACGTGACTGGGTTTCAGCAATCTTGGTATACTTATTTATGGATTGAGCATAAATTATTCACTACTTTGTGAATACAAGTGATTATACGAATGAAAATGGTGAAATAAGAATTTGTCGAAAAATGAATTAATTACATAAAATTATAATGTGAGAGAATTAGAACAGTCTTAAAATAATTGTCTGTGGGTTGAAAATAAATTTGTGAATATAGAAAAATAACTGAACGAATGAATTTAAAAAAAAATGAATCTATCGTAAAATAAAAATGTAAAGTAAAATTATTATCTATTTCTATCTATTTCTAAAATTAATATCTATGGGTTGAAAATAAATTTGTGGATATAGACAAATAACAACGAATGAATTAAAAAAAAATGAATCTATCATAAAATAAAAATGTAAAGTAAAATTAGGATATCAGCAAGTTTCATGATATAATTACATGAGTCGAATATGTTATTAATAGCGATAAAAGTTAGTAACAAAGTTTGCTAAAGTTTTGTGAATAAAGTTGATAATACGAATTGGCCGATTACGAAGTAAAAGACCGTATAGCAAAGTTGGATAGCGTTGTTATTACAGTTAAAAGCGTTCATGAACGCTCGGTCATATGCAAAATTGAAATGTTCCTATACGGCCGGAGATCAAGTAAACATTCTAGCACGATATTAATTCGCGTTCTAATCAGAAAGCGTTCGAAGCGAATAATCGAGGAGGAATCTCTCCAGTGTACATCTCGTACCGGAAGCATAGGGAGATCTAAGGTAAACGTCCGAAATGAAAACAGAGTTCCGTGTCTGCTTTGAAATTGTTGTTACTATGTATGGAATTGGAACGACCAGTGGGCAAGTTCTCTCGTCACGGTCACGATATCAAAATTCGCCGGGAACCACGAAGGTAACCACCGTTTCAACGGCGATAATTGAATAACAATACCGCGATACACCATCGATCCTGACGCCGTCGTTACATTAACAGCACGTTTCCGAGTAATATTCACTGCCACGCCATTAATCTCGTTTATCGCACTTTAAACCTTCCCCATTTTGGATATTTACAAATCTTACCGAATAATTGATAAAGATAACCATTCGGCTCCGCCTTTATTATCAAAAGTGACATTAATCGAATTTATCCTCTCTGGAAATCGTAAAACTGTACACGCTTCGTTTGATCTTAAATGTGAAAAAGATAAACGGTAGAACATAACGCAATTCTTTATCTCAACAGAAATAAGGTTCTTAAAATCCGATTTTAAGTAGAATAGACCACGGTCCTCGACGAGTCAGACACAAATGTCTGCCCTCTGGCGTTCGGATCGCCGCGCCGCCATGTTTTTTCAACGATTTAACCTTAACTAGACTCGAGAAGGAAAACCGGAACACCGATGTTTTATGCTCGTTGCAATTCGAGCGTGACACCGACGTCGAATTAATCGGGACTTGGCGCCAAAAGTTGCCGCATTAAAGATGGCGCGCTATTAACGGTACAGCGAAACGTATTCGAACGCGTTTCCACGCGCTGCATCTCGCTAAAGCGAAGAATTCCATTCGTTGTTTTGCATAGTATTTTCACGCGGTGCGTCGACGTGCACACACATACGGAGGTTCTACTGACCCTCGTCACGTTCATTTTTTGTTTTCGCTTTTTGCGAAGGTTTCACTTTGCTCTGTGCGCTAAGTCGACATGGTTCAGCGCGCAATAAGCACCGTTCTCCTTCTCTCTCCGCCTCGAGACCCGCGTATTAGATTATCCTTCGCTCAGACATTTATAAGTACAATCTACCAGACGACGCTGTTGCTTTTTATCCTTCCCCCTCTTACAACTCTTCTTTTTTTTCGTCATTCTAATTTATGTTCCGAGAAAATCTCGTTTCCAGCCATGAAACGTTCATCAACTGCTCTCTTTTTTCATCGGCAATACCTGGCTTTTTTCTTTTCGTGAAGTTGCATCGTTTCTAAGGATATGTCTTCGATCACCTCGTTTTACTCTTCTTACGATTTTTAGGTCTACAATGCATAGTTTTTACTGGCAATAATTTTGATAATTTTTGGATGTTTCTTTATGTATGACGTTTTGCAGGAAACACAGTTCGAATTGACACAGTTTTTCTACTTTAAATTATTTCAGTAACCGTCAACTTTATTTGACTTCAACTTTATTACAGCAGAGTTCATACCATCTTATGTTCCCAATGTACCAATTTTAGAAATGTTAATCATAATCTGTTTAGAACGAGATAATCTTCGCACAGCTGTATAAACTCACGCAGAGGTTTAAGCTTAAATGAAAAAAGAATCCATCGTTGATTTCCAACTGAACTATTACCTTGCGTATCGGTCGTTTTCTCGTTGATTAATGGTAACCCCAATAATCTATGCTGTGTAACGCAATTGTAGAAACAGTCACCGAAAGATTGCCGATACTGCATTAACATTAAACGTATGCACTGGTAATTTCAGATAAGAAATATAATAGTAAGATAAATAAACGAAGAATTAATCTTGAAAGTCAACACTTCCAATAAAAGCATTTTAATATATGTTTTTATAATAAGAAGAAAAATGGGTCAAATGGTTCGGTAATTTTAGCGTTAAAAATCTCCGACTGTGACGTAGTGAAGTGTCATCTCTCACCATGCGTGACGCGACATTAATATCACAAATTTCTACTACAACTTCTGGTTTTCACATTTTCCCGAATATCGGCGAATGCATAATTGACGTGGAGATACAAACACGGTATCCTTCAAAGCGCTGTTTTTATCTGTATCCACTCAGCCAGGATAAAATCTCCCCTCGCTGTACTTAAGGGTTAAACGTCACGATTTATCGTTACATGAAAACGTGTCCTGAGATGGACAATAAAGGAGCAACGAAAGGTGATTCGGTCGTAATATTTAAGTGACGAGATTGCTTCTTAACTACCAGGGCTTAAAGATATACGGTGAAGTCAAAATTGGTTCGATCCGAGACTTTATTTCGCTGTTGACGAATTTTTATCAAGCAAAAATGTAATCCTCTTCTCTTTACACACTTGAAAATGATGGGATGTGTTTGACATATACGTTGATTTTAATTATTGAGGGATCTTTTAAGGGTTGATTCCGTAAGGTAATTTAATACTGCCGGTATATAATGCATACTTAATTTGAAACTGAAATTGAGGTGGAAAAATAAACGATACAGTATAAATTAATGTATACATCAATTCTTCATATCTCTGCACTATGTCAAGGCTCCACATTTCTCTTTGATCTTACAAATAATTCAGATAAATGATTGAATATAATTTTCATTTATTCACCACTTATAATAAATGAAAATTTGTCACATACTCCTACTGCAATATATTTGATGGAGGACCCCTTGATCTATTTTATAAATCAGAGTAAATCAGACTTAAGGAGTGCAGAGATTAAGAAAGAAAACGAAACAAAAAGTCAAGAATTACGAAATAGCTATAAGTATGAGTAGAGGGTAATTTTTAGCAGGACAGTTCGCAAATCTGGTCCAGTAACGACGAAGGGTTAAACGCTTAGATTTACGGTGAGGCTTAAAGGTATCGAAAGTAGGGGCAGACGGTGTCTGTTAGGAGCGCAGAGAGAGAGGATCACGCGTGCGGTTCCTCGGTTGTTAGGTCGTCGTTACACAGGTTCTTAAAGGTCCCGTGGTCTGGCGTGGCCGGAGCGGATCGGCGTGGCGTCTGCTCGTGCGTAGC